TCTTGTTCTATCTTTGTATAACATTCTTGAGTTACTAGGACTGCATAAAAATCTCAAGACCATATCTTTCATACTTGTTTTCCCAAAAAAAAAAGTCAAATCATCTGCCATTTATTCATATCATTAAACAATATGGGTGCAAACTGGTAGTACATTTTAACCTTCATAGCCCATATCTAACTAAAAAAGTCAAATACTATGCTAGCACTAAAAGTCTAAATATAGGAAATTAAATGAATTGCTCCTATGAACTCCCATTTCTTCAGTTATAACCATGGTTCTAAAACTCGGAAAATTGCTGTGTTTTTTTACTTCTTTTAGCGCCGAGATGAGGAGGAGGACTCTTTCATCTGTTCGCCTAGTCTAAGCAAAATTGGTGTGCCTCTTTCTTTACTATCCAGACCTAATACGACACTTTCTTCCCTTCGATGGAACAACGGCCAGGTGATGAGTCTTCATCTCTACCATCTCCACTCTCAAGTGTCCAGCAGTCCAGGCTGTACAGGTAAAGGCAATTCAAAAATAGTTCCAAAAGACACTTGTTAAGTTGTTATTATGACAGGTCGAAAATCTATTTATTTTTCTTGAGACATATACTTAAGAGATAGTTTGTTTGTAGATTGAGAAATTTATAGCCTAACATTGATAGTAACTAGGAATGCAGCTATGGTGTTTTATAAAATTCCTCAAAGAAGAAATGAAAACTTTAACTAGTAAGTTATTTCAATTACTTTGTTTTTCAGTACTGTTCTCAACCTCTTTTCATTTGCAGCAAGGTATGCAATAAGTTGTATTGCAAGTATGTGGAATTAGGTGTCATTTAGCTAAGAGCCTAAGAAGAGCATATATGATTCCGAAAGTTTCCAAAGAGGGTGAATCAGAATCTTTATAACTTTTGTGACAGTCAGGCGAACTGTATTCAGTTATGCATATCATACATAACAACATACTGATCTTGAATCTTAATTAATCTTTTGGAAGTTTTTCAAGAAAAAAGGTTGTTTGTTTTATAAGTCTGTACCTGCGTCGGTTTTTAGCGTCCTTCAACTATGTAAATTATTCTTGAAATGCAAATAACATTTTTAAAAGGTAGTTTGTGTTATTCACTTGTTCCCCAGTCTTTTTAGTAATTTGAATTTCCACTGGGAAGTCCTTGCCGATCAGTTTGTATTGCCAGACACACTGATTTTCTTAGCAAGCATTTGAGTTACTCTTTTTTTTATACTACCCTACTAATAAAGAAGCCACTTTATATAAATAACTTAAACTCAACAGAGCATTCAAAGAGTGTACAAGTAAAGGGTGGTGGTGCCTTGTCATATTTCCTGCAAATATAGAACTAATGAATGAATTGAGGAGACTAAAACATGAAAAGCATATTGATTTGAGTCATGCTTTGCTGATGCATTGTTGTTGTGCTACTAAGCTTGTCGCTGAGAAGATTGGTGTTGCTGTTGGTGCAATTGATGCATGTTTATCCGAACAGCAGAGTGGGACTGAAACATCTGGGTGTTCAATGAAAGTTGTTGGAACTGGTATGCTCTCCGTTCAGATCTGCCATTATTGCTGTCTTCAAACTTTATACTTCAGCAGTCAATGCTTCATTCAAGGCTGTTATAATAATTATGATATGAAATTAGTATAGTATCACATAATTAGACTCCCGCATGTGATAGTATCAACTCTCAATTATACTTCAAAATGTGCTTCTCATTAAAAAAGATACTAAATATATCAAACTTTTGGTTATATTTCAAAATCACCAATAGGCAGTCAAGCATCCAAAGAAGAAATGATAAATAAATACAATAAAAGGCCAAACTAGTGCTATAACTATTCTCCGTCAAAATGGATTAAAGGAAAAAGATGTTAAAGCTCTTGTTTCGACAGAGAGTGTAAGCAGAACTAGTATTAAATTGTTCATGGAGTAAATACTCTTGCCCGCAAATCTGAACTTAATGTTCAGTAAAACAAGTGTTACTAGAAAATTAATAGTTCTGATAAGCAGAGCTAGTATTAATAGTTCTTTGAGTATAAATAGTTTATAAAAAGTTTAAATGTTCAGTAAAACTTTAAACTTTATTTGTTTAATTTAATTATTATAGTATTTTTCTCCAAGAATATTTAATTTTTTTTGGTATTATGTTGAAAAAAGTTAACGTCCTGTTAATACTTTCAGGTAAATAAAGTTCATCTCTTTGCAAAGAGTTTGTCATTCTCATTCTTGGGAAGGAAAATAGTTTGTATATCAAGATTATTCTTACTGTTTTAGTTTCAAGAATTTAGGCCTTTCAATGAAGTTCTAGTAGCTTTGTATTTCACTCAATGATATGTATTTAATGAACAATTTGTAATGAAGTTTTAGTATTAGTGATTGATATGTACTTATCTACTCCACAGTTACTTTAAAAGAAGGAAACATTTAGAGTTATATTTTCTTTTACAAGGTAAAATCCGGTTTTCTGGTTTTCATCAGAAAACCAATGCAGTTTTTTTTTGTTCCGGTAAAGACTTTTAACGACGGTTATTTAGAAAAACCGTCATAGTATTGTCTCCTAAAAACATATTCCACGTCGGTTATCAACAAAAAACTGTCGTGGTAGAGTTTTCTAGAAACTTAATTCACGACGGTTATTTGACAAAACCGTCGTAAAAAGTACTAATATTTAACGTCGGTTTTGAAACCGACGTTAAATGTGTCCACTTTTAACGTCTCTCACTTAGACGTCGGTTATAAAACCGACGTGAAATGTGCAAAATAACCGACGTGAAATGTCTCTTTTGTAGTAGTGTGACTTACCCACTGGCTGGCCTCCTCAGTTGTTGTCCGCTGCATTCTTTGTCTATGCTGCCCGTGAGCCTTTTGTCTTTGCACTCACCCGTGACTTTCTTCTGGCCGTTGCCTATTATTTAGAGGCCTTGGCTTCTTCTTGTGAGTGTAGCCTGCGATAGATACCTTCCTAGACAGCAGTGCTCTACTTCTTCCTTTTCTTTGTGTGAGAGTGTTAGAGAGAGGTTACTTAGTGGTAGAGAAGAAGCTTGGTGGTGAAGAGGTCATCCCTAATGTGGTGTATGTGTGTTAGAGTGGTTGGAGACCTGAGCCGGAAAAGACAGAATACGATCCCAACAAAAAAAAAATGAGTGCTAAATATTACTCCGTAAATAACAGCGTAAAGGCTAGATCCAATAGCGTATTAACTCTCTAAGTTCTAAAATGAAAATGTGTTATATATTCAATATTACAGAGAACATCTATTAATACAAGAAGAAAGCTACGTACTCGGTTAATTAGTAAAATGTGCCGGCTTAATTCAAGAGCTTTTAGAAGCTTGGAGCATGTAATTAACCAATTTCATCTCCTTATGAAATCATCATTTTTGGCTTAGAGAATCGTGTAAATATGAGTAAAAAAGTTTTGAAATTCCAAAATAGGAGTATTATGTTTTTTATTCTTTGAATAAGAGTAAATTTCTGACAAGTTTGGCATTACTAGGCTTTAAAAAACACGACATTTTTTCAAACATGGCAGATTACTCCTATTTTGGGAATAAAAAACATGATACTCCGATTTTGAAATTTCAAAACCATTTTGCTTCTATTTAGAGTCATTTCTATACATAAAAGTGAATTTCCCTCCTTTTTCTTTTGGAACGAGTACAGTGATAGAAATAGGGGCGGCGCGTATGATCTAAGCTCAGTGAAGAATTTTACATATACAATAAGGCCAAGTTATGGCGTGGGCAAAAAATTTACGGACCAAAATTCATATGGACAATCTGAATAAAGTTGGAAAATGACAATTTGAATTTCTAATTAATACAAAGTAGTTTTTTTCCTAAAGGGTTTATGATTAGAAAAATGAAGTGTAGTGTTAAAAACCAGGGTGAGAAACTAAATATTACGGAATACTCCTCCGTCCCTGAAAATATTTCCAACTTTCTCTTTTCGTCCGTTCCAAAAAGAACTTCTCTTTCTTTTTTTGGCAAAGAATTTGTGGTTCACAACATTTTTCTCTCCTCTGCACAACTTTCCACTACACAATTCTCACTTTCTTAATCCGCATGCCACTTTATTTTGAAAGTAAATTATGGAACGGAGGTAGTATAAAATTAACTTGGCAGGTCAAAATAGAAAAGGTTCTGACCTTTTCTACCATATACTGCTAAAATCTATGAAAAGCAAAAAACTTAATACGAATCTCTTTTAGAATCGTCAAAATAAAACTAATAAGTGAATGAATTATCTTACGTTAGTATTTTAATTTGTACATCAATATAGATACGGCTAGAAGCCTAGAATATAAGAAAAGCAAAAAATTTAATACGGATCTCTTTTAGAATCGTCAAAATAGAACTAATAAGTGAATGAATTATCTTATGTTAGTATTTTAATTTGTACATCAATATAGAGAAAACAAAAGAGTATTCTTATCTTGTGCATCACACGGGTACAATACTTCAATAAATGATAGAATCAGTCAATACGAAACGTTCCAACCTTTGGCGTTTCCAACCAGCTAATTTTTTGGCTCTCTGAGATGAAGAAGCCGATTCAAAAAGCTATTTATCTGGAGCCGTTTGGATCACCAATAATAGGCTGATAAGTCTGAATGAAAGCACATAAAAATCGCAAAACGCTAATGAGGGGGTGTTTGGAACTGGTTCTGCTTCTGCTTCTTTTTTTAAAGCAGAAGCAGAATCAGAATCAGTTTTCAGAAGCTGCTACCCCCCAACTTCTAAAAAAATTGATTCTAGGAGTAAATTTAAGCACCAGAATAACTTCTATATTTTCACCTAAAGACTCCAACTTCTGCGTCTGCTTTCTGAAGGAGCAGAAACAGTTTTAAGAATTTGATCCAAACACTCCAGAATAACTGAATTGGCTACTTGGGCTGATTTTTCTTATGAGCTGAAAAAATAAGTTTTCGGTTACTTTTTGGGCTGATATTAATTAATCTACCGTTAGCCATCGAAAAAACCCTTTACCCCATAGAGAAAAACGGAAGTCTGCTTGCTAGCCTTTATCGGAAGCTTACCCCAACGACAGACCAATAGTCTTTCTTCTTCGCTGAGGAAAACTCAATTTCCTGCTTTAACTCAACAAAAAACTCGATTACATATTAGAATGATTTGTATCGGAAGATTACCCCAAGCCCTTTAGCGGAACACTGGCTTGCTCACTCGCTTTGGCTTTTATCAATCTGCGTTTTCTTCCTTTTGGCTGAGGAAAACTCGATTTACATAGCTTTTCTATTCATTTGAGGTATCTTTGTTCTTCTTATGCATAATCTCTTGGATTTGGTTTTGAATCAATATTTTTCCTCTCAAATGGCATCTGTATATGATTTTTTTTTTTTTGTTTTTATGTTTTAAATTGATAAATTTTTTAGAGCTCTTGGTTCTAGGTTGCAGAAATTTGGTGAAATTGGACCTAATTTTTTTCTCTCAAAAAAAATTGTTTCTTTAGTATCGGAAAGATTTCATAAGTGGGTTATGGAAAATTTGGCCGTTTATCACTGATGTACATTGGATGATTGGAAAGCAGTAACATAAACGTAGTACGAAGTATAACAGTTTAATATAGTTTATGGTAATTTTATGTTCAATCAGCCATCTCGGTTAACAAACACTTTCACCAGACAAAACAACTAAACTTAATCAAACCAGCCAAAATATGGCCATTTACTAAACACGGTCAAAACCTAAAACCTAACCCATCCTACCAGTTGTATTACATCCTTCAAGTACTGCAAACTATGACCGGCAACGCTGACAACAAGCGGCGGAGGACGGCCACCTAAGGCGACGATGAAAACCAACGACGCTGATGACTAGCAACGCGGACGGCCAACGACGCTGAGTTCCGTCTCCAACCTCTCCTTCTTCACATATTGAACACCGGCCGCCATCCTTAGTAATATATAGATAGTATAAATTTGGACATTTGATTATCATCAAATATATTTTTTTTGGCAGAATCATCGAACAATTTTATATTACTCTGTTTAGTTTCCTTTCTAGAATGTGTATAAAAGTATTATCCTAATACTGTAAACCAATATTTATATCCTAGTCCCTGGGCTGTATGATGGTTAATCCTAGACATGGCCTTCTTTCGGACCAATTCCTAATTGTGCTCTGCTTATTTAGTTAATCACATGTCATTGTTCTTATTTATCTATTTATTTATATTACATTGTTGATAAAAACTAAAAAGTACTGTTTTCATATGCAGTGTTCACTTGTTGTCTGCTGTTTTACCTCGCTCCTTTTCCAAATTCATACGTTTTGGCTTATCAACAACATTGCTTTTGACTCTATTGATACTTGGGTCAATAGATTCAAATTGTATTTGCTATTACCCTTGTTGGTTCAGAAAAGAAGATGGTTGGAGTTATTTTAGGCATGCCAGGACCTTGGGCTGATGATATCTATGAAGTATCTGATCATTATACCACAAAAATTGGTGGACTTCCAGTAAGGATATTTGAAATGAAAGATATAGTTAATAACTGAATGTCTTTGTTTTGATTCATGAACTCTTTTCTTCTTCAAAGATCTATCAACAACTACTTTCTGTTAGGATTGGCCTGTTTCAGTTAGCATGATAAAGTCTCATGTTCTTGAGTGCAGTTTGTGTAAAAGCAATCTCTGTCACCTTGCACAGGTTATACATTTTAAAAATGTTTTATTGCTGAAATACTTAATCTTTTATTATTATTACTATTTTTTTCCAATAGCTGTTAATCTTGTCTTTTCTATCTCATCTTTCAATTGGTATCCTCAGGTTTATGCTCCTATCTCAAGAAAGGGTGCCGAAATTGAAGAACGGATAATTTACATTTTTGGTTGTGTTGCACCAGAATGTGGGATCACACCTGTAAGGTCTCTTTTCAATTCAATTCCAGCATATGGTTAACTCGGAATACATATATTTCCCATTCCTGGAAATATATTATTTTTCTTATTTTAGGTCCCTGTATTTTTTTTTGTTATCCATCCATGCAATTTGTGTTATCTGTATCAGAGATAAAGAGCCAAGGGTCAATTATCATCCCTGTATTAATGGCTAGGGTTGAATCCTTTGGTGCTAGTCAATTCGGTGAATTCGCTGAAGGTACAGATAGCACAGCTGGTAGAGCAGAGGACTGAAAATCGTCGTGTCACCATTTCAAATCTTGTTCCTGGCATACAATTTCTTTACCCATCAAATATCACATATATAACATAAAAAAAGAGATGGGTATAGATGTCTTTTAAATTCAGGGAAACCCCAGAATAAATAAAAGGGGCAATCTTGAGCCAAATCCTTTTTTTCAAAAACTTCAAAAGCTTAAAAGGATAGGTTCAGAGACTTTTTTTTTGTTTTTTGTCACTGACATCCAAAAATACCAAAGCAGCTCAGTAACTCCAGTCCAGCATTTTAGTCATCGGCAATGACTAGTAGGGGAGTTTTAATAAGCAAAAGTTGCAAAAGTTGCCATGTCATCATTCAATTGATATCTCTCCAGTCTGGAAATAAATTATTGAGTATTAAATAAAGACACAAAGGAGCAAGATTTGGAGTTGCCATGTCATCATTCATTATACTTATGTTTGATCTGCTGTGTCCATGTAGCTGGAAAGCTCTACGAGTTCAAAAATTTGTCAGTGGAGAAGGGTCAAATGCCCCCGATGATGATACTGTCCCTTTACCTACATCTTATTCTACATTGAATAATGACTGGAAAAAGGATTTGTTGAGTTTTGATTTTGCTGAAGAGGAAGATGGTGAAAATGATATAGACTTGGAAGAGTTGAGTAGGGCATTTTCTCAAGCGGCAAGCCTGGCTTCTCACTCCAAGAAAAAAGTTCGAGATCATGGACATAATGCAAAACCTGTTGCATTGGGCCAAAAATCTAGGGTGATTGATGAAAAATTACCTGGTAGCTTCTGGTTCCTTTACTGAATTTTTTCTTGTGATGGATTTAATGCTAGTGGTCTCTTTCTCCCTTCTGATTGAAAACCATGTCTGGTGCAGTGCTCATCTGGTTACGACAATAGAGTAGCGCTACTTTAATTACATGCTAAAGAAAAGTGGTGCCAGTTTTTGTTAAACAACTAAGCGATCAGATCTGTTCTGCTTACTTACATTGCCTACAAACTCAGATCATTTTCTGTGATATGTGATATTTTACCCACAATTTAGCCTCCCAAATGAACCCAACATCCTAATTCTTAAAGTAAATAATACAGAGTAAAATGTTAAAAAATTAAGGTATTTCACATGTCCTTCTCTTCCCCAATGCGTATGGTGTACTACCAGTTTTCCTTTTACTAAAAGTTGGATTTGTAAATCGTTTTCTTTCAAAGTTTATTTAACTGGTAATCGTTGCATTTTATGTGAGATTTTAAATGCAGTGATGCCTTGTTTCTATATATATGCCGAGGAGGAGATATTCCCAAAACAGAATAAAAAAACACTGCCTTTTATCAATGAACAAAATGTTGATAACACAAATGATGAAGTTTGGGAAGAGGAGAAATATGAATACGACAGAGCACCGAATGCAGACAGGATTTACCTTAAATTCAAAAAGCGGCTGGATGCATATCCAGAGCAATGTTTCAGGTAATAGACACTCGACATCATGAAGCGCTCTGTTGAGACATATTCAGAACACTTTTCATTTTCCTAGCATGTGATTATAGATTTATACTCTAGTTGTTGTTAGTTCATTTTAAATTTCTGTAATTGAATGTCAAAGATATAAAGACTTGAGATTACATAGAATAGGGTTAAAATGAAGAAAATTCTTATGTGCAATCTGCTGTCACATTATGAAACGTTCAATGTTACATTACAAGGCAAAGCATCATATGGCATAGTGTGCCTCATTCTGTGTTACATTGCGCAAGAGTTTTAGGTACATAATAAAGCACTTTTAGTCACATTATGAAAGAAAGGTGTGGAGTTGTACACATTATTGGGTAGTGGGGGTGCCATTATTGCTAATTGTTTTATCAATTTAGTGCCTGTTTGGTAAGAGTTATTTGTATAGGTGCCATTATTAGTTACATAAGGAAATACATGTGCTTTCAGACTAATTCCTAATTGAGTTCACTTTACATTCATCTATTCTTTTTGAGTTACACCTAGATACTCATATGGTGGAAAGGAATTATTAGCTTCTGCAGAGCAGAGTGATCCTGAGAAATGCAGGTTGTGTGGTGGATCTAGGCACTATGAAATGCAGTTGATGCCCCCACTGTTATATTTTTTACATGAAGCTACTGGAAAGAAGTTGAAGCAATGTCTGGATAAATGGAACTGGATGACTTTAATTGTCTACACTTGTTCCAACGTTAGTCTTCTAACTCTTTTTTCAGTGTTTAAACTAGGTATGAACCCAAAACTAGGTATGCGGGGTAGGCAGGGTTCTGTTTGTCAAATTAATTTTGATGAAATTTTAATCCTTTTGATTTTTAGCTAGATTACAAATCAATTACTCCCTCTGTTAAATAAGTGATAATGGTGTGGCCTAAAGTTGTGCAAGGGAATGATGTGAATCACATATTTTTTTGCCGAAGAATGAAATTTTGGTGGAGGGAGTAGTTTTTGGGTTTCATTGTTCTAGATTTATTAAGAGCCCGTTTGGTAGCACTGAAATTTGATGAATTGGTTGAATCTGTTGAAATTGATGAAATTACGGTTGAATTGGCTGAATATGTTGAATTGTTAAAAAATTACTCTCTGTTTCTTAAAATTTGGCCAACGTTGACATACATGTGTAATAATAAAGTAAAAACCGAGTGATTGAGATGTGTGCAGAGGAAAGAGAAACACCTTTAACTAAATTTGGAAATTTGGAAAAAGTTTTGTAGGACTAGGGGAGTAATTAAAATATATTTTATTAATTAAATAAAAAATGGTATACTCTATGAAGCTAAAAGGGCTGTCTAAAAAGATCGTTCTTTTTTATCTTGATTATTATAAAATTTAGCTCCCAAAATTAAAAGTTACGTGTTTTGTAAAAAAGTTTCATGATAAGCTGAAAATAGGGATTACCAAAAGCTCTAAATTTTGATGTTTGAAAACAGGATGAGTCTGTTATCTTGAGCTTTTCCTTTTCGAATACTGGTACTTATATTATTATATGTACTCCATATATATGTACAAAAGAAAAACGTTCACTTTTGCATCTAAGCCGTTATAATAGCCACCACAGATATTCTTTTAAACACTTCTGGCATCATCTATGCAGAACTGTTCATCTGAAGGAAGCTGCGGAAAAGACGGGTGGACAGTAGCAGAGGAAGCCATTGTTGTACAGTATGAATAGATAGAATGAAAGCACTGAATGTGGAGGCATTGAGCCAACATACACATGCACTATCGGCTAGGAAGGAGAGTCGTTTATCGGTCTATGGCTCCACAAGCAAAGTGTGAATTTGATTTTGGGATGGAAGTAGTATGAGACTATGAGTACCGGTGCTGAAATTTGTCTTTTTAGTACTCCTATTATTACTGGTTTGACACTTCGGTGCATTGTGAATTAGTGAGGCCTTGATCTCTTGGACGGAATTTTGCTGGACTTGATTAAAGCCTGATTCGGTCTACTTGAATTAGGCATACATCTCTCTGGCGTAGTAATTATTAGTCTTAATACTATGTACTTAATTTCAGTGTACTGTGGCTCATATTTAACATGGACCCGTATGACTCTTTTTTAGAGTCATATGGATATTTCATTTTCATTTACCCCAGTGCTACAAAGGCTCCCACCTACGGTGGGGTAAGGAGGGTTGGATGTACGCAGTCTTATCCCATAGTGAAAATCCTAGGGGTGGGCATAAAACTCAAATCGAACCGGTACCGAATCGTCCCGTAATGGTACCGAACCGAATATCGGGTATTTAAACGGTTCTATAGATTTGTATCCCGTACCGAAATTGTACCGTTTGAAACGGGTACGGGACTGGTCCTAGATTTTGAGAACCGAAAAATACCGGACTGAACCGTTCGAAAATAATGCATTTGAATTTTTTATATTTTTTCTATACCAATAGATCTCTTTTATAGAGCAACAATTTTATAGCCCAAGTATGTATTCATGTGTTCCTAAGATATCTAAATGTGTGTGTTTATATATATTGTTATTTTTTCTTTCTAGATAATTTATGTTATACTTCGGTATGTATTGAAAGAATATTAAAATTTTAGAAATCATTAATAACTATTCATTTCTAGTAATATAATGTCCATGACTTTTTGTTGTATCATGTTTGTGCAATTTTTACAACTTAATTAATATGGTTTAAATCTTAGCTCTCAAGGTTCAACTATAAATTAAATTAGAATTACGGAGTAATATTTAACCTAGAACGAAGAAGAAGAACGTTGACGATTTCTATCATATTCAACAATTTGATGATATTCGTTTTTATATTTTCATATGAACTTAGTAAACTAAAGATGATATTTATCTCGTGCGTCATTGTTTGCTATACTTTTTCTTGGTTGTGTTGCACTATTTGAGTATTTGTGAATATTAGTACTACGTATGTAATTTCTTGTATTTATATCAATATTTCATGCGAGTTGGTTGGTGTGATGATATCTACTAATTGCAAATTTTGTTCAAATTTTTTAGCATGCGTTTGGCATTGTACCGTACCGTTTTGTACCGTTCCGAAACGACATGGTACTGAACGGTTCTATCCTTGGAACCGGACCGTACCGAACCGTTAAAAACCTCACGGATACATTATGGGTTTTACCAATTTACCGGATCGTTCCGGACCGCGCCCACCCCTAGAAAATCCCGTCCAAAATTGCATGGACTGTCTGCTGCTTCATAACAAAGAAGCGTAGTCAGTTTAGTGAGCCATTTTGCTTGATTCCATCATAATCTCAAACCAAAAAATAATGAATCTTTGACTCCATTGCAAATGATGGAAAATTAATTTGAACTACATAAAAGGGAAAAACACATATTCAAACATTAGAATCAAGACCCCCCTCAGAGCAACACAACAATAAGAATCAAACATTTACATGATATTTACTTTCATCACGGTATTCCATACATAACATCATGGTTTCTTGCAAGATAAATATATACTTATATACTTATTTAAGAAAATGAGTTTGGGATATTCATTATCGGTTAAGCTCAAATCACACTCTGCTGTGTTAGAGCGATACTTTTGACATTTCCAATTTCTTTAGGAATAATATATTATCATCAATTATTTAATTCATTTTATAAGGGATGAGTGAAGATTATGTCAATGGTTTCATATATATATATATATATATATATATATATATATATATATATATATATATATATATATATATATATATATATATATATATATATATATCAAAGTATGTTCTTGATATCATTCCAATGATGATGTATGCGGTGTTGGTCCTAAGCTATTTCCAGCTACCACGTTTTTGAGAATGTGATATTTGGTCGAATGTTTTTGTCAAAGTACAATCATGCACATATTGCACTTACATATGGAATTCCTTCTCCCAATACACATTTCAATAATAGATCTTTTCTAGTATCTATATTTCGACCAATCATGAGAGTGCTAACAGTTTGGATTTATCCATGTTAGTTTGTCTGAGAACCCTTTTGGATATATGCAACTGGTTAATTATTATTCAACCAACTCGTAGTGTTTTTAAAACAGACCCGAGTTTCCCAAGATCCTTTATCTCAATTACAACTTTGAAGTATCTAAGATTTCTCATTTTTCAATATGAGTACATATCATGTCTATATCTTTGACATGTTGTGAATACAAATCTTATTCCTAAATAGAAAGCATAATCTATTATGTGATTTAGAATCACTTGATTTGAGATGATAAAAGCATAACAAATGCTTCAAATACACCTCTTAAATGACATTCTACTGAGACATCTCGTAATCACAACCTTAAACAACGTGTCCATTACTTTGGAGGCTACTTAGATATTAAGTAGTTGAACATTTTTGTATTCATAATAGAGAAGTATAACTTCTCATATTTGAATCCAGGATGTTGTGAGAATAATTTGGACCTCATTATCTCAAAACGCACAATGTGCAACGCAAGATTCAGAAAAAAGAATGGGACTATGACATCAATCTGGTGACTTGGTGTGCCGGTTTATTCTATGGATATGTGGTCATAGTCTCCATTTGCTTGTATGTTATACTAAAGTACTTATCTGCTCCACCCAGCCTTGTTCAACTACTCTGTCTCTAGGGATATTCCCTGTATGTCTTCATCCCTGCATTGTGCCTTTTTGTCGTCCCTATTGAAATATTCAGATGGGTGGTTGCTGGTTTGGCTGGGCTCATGTCTGCGACCTTTGTTGCCCTTAACCTCAGGACACACATTGTTTCTGCTGGGGAGAGGTGGTTCTTGATTGCGGCTGATATCTTTCTGTTACAGCTTGCTCTTGCTTTGGTACTTCTGCTCTACTTGTTCACCGTCACAGTATAATACATAATGTAAGACAATCTATGTATTGATTCAATTTTGTTATTGCACTTGTTGGGATATTGATCCAGAGGCCCAATACCCGGATCAAGAAGGCCCAGGATACCCGGCCCAAACAATGAGCCCATCACTCTATGATGAGCAGGTCCAGTGAAGAATTCATGCCGAACGAGATTCGGCCCAGGTAAGGGTTGGCCCAGTAAGAAGATATACCGAACGGAGATCGGACTATATATCATACTTGGGCCAATTTGACAGCGTCCTCAGCATAGTCCAACATCCCGTTCGAGCAACGGACAACCGGCAAGTGGCCAGGTGCAATTAATGCCAGATTGTGACATCAGCAAGTGGAAATATGGGTGACCAAGTCGGTGGAACAACAGCCAATCAGCATAGAGCAGCCCATGCTCTCCATTAGTATAAATAGAAGGTTTAAAATCATTGTAAGGGTTAGCATTTCAATACTCAGGCTCTAGAATAGCATTATTGCTCTTATTTCTTGTATTAAAGCATTATTCTGACCTACCGATCGGGAATTTCCTTGTAATCAGACTGGTTAATTAATACAAGTGGGCTTTTGAGTATTAGTGAGTTCATATTTTATATTTGGTTATACACTTTGATTCTGTACCATTCCTGATATATCCAAAGTTCGTGTTGGGCTTTTGGATCTACGGGACTTACCTTCAACATTGGCGCTCTCTGTGGGAAAGTGTTCAAAAAGTTTCACATTCAATTATCCTAAAACCACTATTTTCGAAAATGGTCAGATTCAGTTCTTATCACACAAACGACGGTTCACACCGTCACGGAAGGAGTCACACCCCAGGAAATCAAACCCCTCAGGGACAATCCAACTGAGGATCGTATCCTCGTTTTGATGGGGATTTTGTGATTCCTGAATCTCTAAGGAGAAATCCTCAGGCCATGCGAGATATGGCCCAGGTCATGCAGCATATGTTAAACGAGGAGGAAGGAGGGTCCAATTTTACAGGGGAAACTCCATGCACGGAAACAACCACAGCGTCATCCCGTTCGCATGCCCATCGGGATAATCGCCGTAGCGCCCCACCAACAGCGCAACATAGTCACAGTGACCGAACCCCGATCGGATCACAAGTCAGGGGACCAATTCCTATTGGTCATCATTTCCAGTATGCCGAACGGGATAATACCAGGGCCGCTCAAAGGCATTGGGACCGGGAGTATACAGACATGAGGGCTCCACCACCGCCCCCTTTGACGGCCCAGGAGGAAGAAATGGCTGAGATGAGGAGGCAGATGAACGAGATGCGAGATCAGATGAACAGGGCGCCTGTACAACCTGCCCCAATTCAGCTCGGAATTACTTCCCCTTTCACCAGGGAAATCATGTATGCGGACATCCAAGGAGGTGCCAAACCACCGACCGGTCAAATCTATGACGGGGTGGGAGATCCCCATGTGCATTTGAGGAGTTACCAAGGGGGACTCATGCTACTAGGAGCACCCGAGGCTGCTATTTGCCGATTGTTTTTTAGTACGCTCAGAGGGTCCGCCCAGGAGTGGTTCGGGACACTGCAACCCGGGTCGATCAACAGTTTTGCCGAATTATCGACGTTATTCTTGGCCCAATTTGCTTCCAGTGCCAATCCGAAACGACATTTCAGCTACCTGACCAGCGTGAAGCAAAACTCCAAGGAAACTCTCAATCAATTCTTAAAAAGATGGAGGGACGAAACTCTGACAGTGGGAAATATGACGGATGATACCGCCATCACCCTATTCACGAATGCTCTCCGAACGGGAGAGTTATACAAGGATTTGAAGAAGAATCCAGGTACAGTATATGCCGAGGTATTAGACAGAACTCGCAAGCATGCTACCCTAGAAGAGGAGATAATGATCAGGGATAAGGTCGTTGCGCCTACTGCCCCAATCAAAATGGCCGATCGGCTGGGTCCTAGCCCAGTGGCCGTTATACCTCCCAAGCAAGGGAGATTTACCCCCCTGGTCCTGTCAGTGGCGACCATTTATCAGCACGAGAGGGACAAAATTCCCCTCCCGACTGATTCTTCACAATTTATGGGAGCAGACGACTCTGCTTTTTGTAAATATCACAACAGGAAGGGTCATGCCACCAATGCCTGTAGGGCCCTACAAACGGCCATTGAGGACTTGATCCGACGGGGTCATCTGGGCAAGTATGTGAATAAGGATCCAAATGCGG